AAGTAAGTTGAATGCAGTGGAGATGCGATCTCTTCGTAAAATGTGCGGCGTTACTATGGCCGAGCGAAAGCGAAACGAAGAGATTCGCAATATGGCAGGTTGAAAGATGACCTTATCACAAAAATTGATAAGGGCATGCTTCGGTGGTTTGGGCACGTTGAGCGAATGAGTGAAGACCGAATGGTGAAGAAAATATATAGCGCGAAAGTTAATATTAAAAGGTGTCGAGGTAGACCGAGACTAACTTTCGAAGACCATGTGAGCAAATTGCTCGAAGAGGGTAGGGTCAAGAGTACTCGGATACCTAGACGTGCATGCATGAAGAAGATAATGAATCTGAAAGAAGCGAAAGAGGTTTGTAAGGATCGTGACACTTGGCGATCTGTTCTCTCTGGCTACCCCGTCAGGGATTGTGCGTGAAGATAAGTAAGTAAGTAAGTACAAATAAATAAAATTTAAGTGTCTGTTTGTAATGTTAAAATAACGGCTTTTACTAAATACATATGAATGTATATACGGTACTTATAAAAAAAACACAATTTTTAAAATTTTTGTCTGTTTGTCTAACGGCTGGACCGATTTCGACGGGAATTTCACAGGCAGATAGCTGATGTTCTAAGGAGTAACTTAGGCTACTTATATTTGATAAAAAGAATTAGGGTTCTGAGAAATATAATTAAAACCCTAAATTACACGCGAGCGAAGTTACGGGGAGCAGCTAGTAATCAATATATTTCATAAGCACAAATTAGTCAATGTGTGAAAATATTCGACGTTAATTTGACATACTTACTTACGATATTGACACAATGATGTGTGTGTATCATTTCACAAAATGCACGAAAATCAATGATTGTTATTCAGTAATTATCTAATGCAATTCATGGTTATTATCGACTTATAATAATAATTGAAAATAAAAATTGATAAGTAACATTTTTATATGACAAAGACTTATAATATATTTTAATAGAAATATGTATTGTTTGATACTTTATGCGTACGTATGTACTTATTCGTACAAAGAAACGCAGATGTTATTAGAAAAGACTGGAAATGTAAATTAATCGTTGAATACCTTTTTTTAAATAATATTTTACCGCAAGTTGTACAAAATAATGACTTATCACAAAAAACTTCAAAATTTATAAGATTATTTTTCATATTTTTACCTTTTTTGTACAAGGTGGGGTACGATCTGGCATTCTCTATTCACTGTGTAGTATAATTATTAAAATGGTGGTATTTTAATAATTATACTTTCAAGCACTAGACAATATTTAAAATGAATTGAATCCTTGTTGGTTTTACAATTAATCAACTGTTCAGTAAAACTACAGAATCCTTACGGCCCGTTTTCATTTGTCTGACGTCAGATCCAATTTTCAATCGAAATAATGGAGCTTCTATTCACTCTAGTTGGACGTCGGATCTGATTAAAGCTGAAGACACTGCCATATTCTCCAGAAGACTGATAAAATAATATTATGTATTTATCCAGTCTTGAAGGTTTGCTTTAGAATTTTTTTACATCTTAATTACTGAATTATGAATTAATGAACGACGATCAAAAGTTAACTGCGATAGCGATATTTACGGAGGGACACTAGCTGAACACAAAAGTAGTAGCTGCGGAAAAGGGATCTGACACGTTTTTAGATCGCGTGGACATCGCACTAAAACTATCAAATAAAACTTGTCGGAACCAACAATAAATCGGTGGCTGATAAATGTTTTTTGTAACTAGAACGACCGTTTTTTCCGCGACGAATACAAATGGCGGGACGAGTTCTATCCTTCTATAAAGAGCAAATCCGGTCTTACATGGAGTACTACTGTCACATGTGGGCTGGCGCTGCATAATTCTACTAGTAGCGTGAAATTATGGAGAAACGTGCTAAGAGGCTTATTAGCGATATTTGGTTGAAACCATCTTTGTAAGTCTTGAACATATATGCCTTGAGTAGCCAACCGTGCGGTATTCCATAAGGTACATTTCAGAGACTGCGAGCAGGAGTGATTTAATTTCTCACTCATCTTTGCAACATCGGACAACCGTACGCTTGGTTTTACTTTCGACGTTCAATGCAAACGAACTAAACAGTTTTCTTCGTATTTCATAATGAATTCAGTAAAGGAGTAAGAATCATTTGCCAGCGTCTGTTTTTCATCAGATAATAACGCTAGTGTCTTTAAGGCAAGAGTATATACGCCTTTATTGTGCTAAGACAGTGTGATTTGCTACTTACCACCTGGTGAAATAGCATTCAAGTGACGTATTCTAACATATTATAGAGTTACAATATTTTGAAAAGGGTAAAATAAAAAATCGCCGTATAGTGGCAGCGTAAGGGAATCCCCTACCAAACTAATGAAACAGAAAATGAGCAGTAGCATCTTACAAAGAACAAAATATAATAAAAAGTTGGTCACTCACTTGCCAAGCGTGACTACTACTACAAAACATGCTGCCTATGCATGCAATTTATGGGGTTGCCTATGTTCTGCAGTGAGAGAGCACATACACAACCTAGTAATCATGGTAAGATCAGGGGCTCGCTCTGAAGAACGGTCTCGTAGATCGGAAACTCTCTACTTCCACACTCTCAAAGTTTGATGTGACAGTAATCTCACCCGACCGGAGTGACCAGGCGCAGGAGCAACGGTTTTATTAGCAGGAAAGTGAAATACTACCAGCTTTTTTACTTCGGGCTGCTACCGAGAATTACGTGAAAGTAAAACCTAAAACTAATTTTGATCCAACACGGGTTCGAATCCGGGGCACATGATCAGCAGTTGCACTTGCCACTAGACTGCAGAGGAGCACTAGATAGAGGTTAAGTTTAAGTCTTTAATAAAAGAGATGTGATGAAGTTGTTATCGAGGTATTTTATATTGTATCACTTTGTGTGAATCTAGACACGTACATAATCAACTTTGTGTCTGTTTGTCTGTCTGTAACCGATGTTTTAGTGCCTATTTCACGCTAATGGCATATTTAAGCTGACACCGAAAGTAAAGGTTCAAAATTCTGTTAGGTAAAATGAAATGTAAAAAATATTATGTGAGTAAGAAAGTCAGTTAAAAGTTTCTTACAGCAACATTTCAAAAACACCTAATTCATAATTTAGTTTTATTTACAAAAAATTGCTGGAATTGGTGAAAACTCTGAAAAGGCTCACTATAAAAACGATCGTTAAAAATGGTACTTGAAAAGCATTATGAATATTGAAAAATTGGTGTACAAAATTAAGAGAATTGAAATATTCTGCTAGAGCAATGGATTGTTTTGAATAATCTTATAATTTCAGTGGGGGCTGCATAAAAGATTAATTTTGAAACTAAAGTTGTACTTTACTGATTTTGTTTACATACCAAAGTATTAAAAACGTCTTTAGAATTGAGCGGATATTTGTATATATAACTGTATGATAACTGTTTGATAATGTACGAAATTTCGGGTTTATTATAAATAGAGACTTCGTTAAGCTATATTTTTTTTATAAATAACAAAATTTTTTTAGTAAAATATTTTTATATAGATTATAGCCCGCAAATTAAAACTATCAAACGTAGAAATTAACTCACCATAATGTGTCACCAGCTTAATTCTTTCATTCATTCATAAATCTTGTATATTACCAATTGAAATGTTACAAATTAAGTATATTATCAAAATATCAATTCACTACTCCTTATTGTAACGCTATATTTGGTGTTTTATTTTATAATGGTAATATATATTAAATCCACTATGTAAATTTTACAATATTAAGTCCACTACTTGAGGTAAACATTAATAGTCTTATGTCACACCTTAACACAGTTCAAAGACGTTGACAGCTTCACCACCGACACAAAAGGTGGAGATAATTACATCAAAAAATTCGAAATACGAGGGAATGGTACGGTACACTAAAAAGCGCGATTATCATTCGATGCCGAACTCATTTCATGATAATTCGATTCGTTGTAACATATAACTACAAAGACGTAACTATACAAATTTTTCTGTCCCGATTTCTTACTGTCAGTGCGATGTTTTAGAGGTTATTCGTTGTGTATGGCACGGGCACGTCACTTTCGTTTTAGTAAACATGGCAGCGTCAGTGGGCAACAGATGACAGGGCGCGGGCGGGCGAGCCTGCGCCGGGGGTCGCGTTCATCTCATCTCGACACGAGGTCCGCGCGGCCGCGCTGCCTGATAGAAGTGGCGAACCGGATCGCCGCGCGTAGCACACCCCGGGGGCGCCACTATACAACGTCCTCTCAGACAGAAAAGAAGGTTCCTCTCGCGAGTTTTCATTTCCGTCGATAAAGCAGTGCTTTTAGGGTATTGCGAGAGGGAGACACCGAAGTTTCATGCGAATCGATTGGCTGAAGAAAAGGGGCGGGGAATAAGCACGTGGCAATATATTTAGTTACTATTAGTCCGTATAGTACATTTCGCGCTTTTGTAACGCTTCGACTTCGCGTTGTATGAAAGTTCGTACTAGAGCTGTTGTTGAAAAGTTTGTGTACTGTTCACTCGCAACTTAGTTTCTCTAGTTAAATAATACTTATGTCAGTGATTCTTTTAGATTGAAACATTATTTAATATAGAACTACAACCATAGTTAGTTGGTTTCATTGAAAATTTTGCGATTTAGTTTTTTAATTATGAAATTACAATCAAGACTTCCTTTATTAAATTAAGATCTATGCATCCTTTCCCTTAAGGCCTATAAAGTGCACTGCTAAACATAAGCCTCCTCTATAAACTGCCTTATAGAAGGATTTTGCTATAATTGTCACGCTTGGCAGGCAGTTTGGCAATCGGTGTTTTTTTAATATTTTGATTTGTTATCAGGAAGATGCTGCAGCCCATCTCCTGTTTCATATCTGCCGCTTCTTACGACAACCACAATACGGTGGGGGGGGGGGGGGTAGTGGATATTCTTACACCACCAGTACACATAATTTAGATCTATATTATAAAACAGTGACATTAAAACACATACCAGTCTGTGTGCTGGAATCGAAGAATGTGCTCGTAGTCTCCACAGTCATAGTTCCGATAGTACCGTCAAGTATCTGTGTTGAAGAATCGCGGCGACCTCTTGCGCGCATACATGCATCGTCGCTTTGAGAGCTTTGTCGTCTGAAATTACGACAGCGAATCATTTCCTCAGTGGTCGATTGCCGGCGAAAGCCGCGGGCTATTAATATTTCCTCCGTCGTTGATTGTCGTCGGAACATTGTTCGTTCAGGAGGACGTGCACACGGACTCGGGTCGCGGCTAGAACAAGAACTGGATTCCGGGCTACGAGCTCGACCCATGCGAGCACATGACGCTTGTCTTCTCAATCTACTTCGACGTCTCGCTGCTGATGGACTTAATTCACCTCCCCCAGCACGATCAGGGCTTAATTGATTTCGTTCACGTCTTGGCCGCGCTGCGGAGTCAGGACTTAACGAGTCCCTCCTAGCACGCCCTTCATCATCAGGACCTAAAGAGGGGCCTGAGTCACGACGCCTGGTCCCTGGTGGGCCAATGGGATCGTCAAACGCAGTTGCTTGTCTTTGCAATCGTCCTAGCCTTCGTTCCGGACTGGCTGCAGCCCTAGAATCTCTACGAGCTCGCCCACATTGAGTGGTAGAATCTCTTCGACTCCCTAAATTGGGAGGTGACTTTCCCCCAGGTGTCGCTTGGGTTCCTTGTGTTGATACTGTAGTAATTTGGGATGCTTGATTGGTCTGCATAACACTTCCGCTTGGAGTAGTAGGCGAGGTCGGTGATGGTGTTACAGCAGATGTAATAATAGTCGGCATAGTCATCGGTTGGCACTCACCATCTGAACGACTTGGTTCGTGTACTGTTACTATAGTCACTGATGGTGTTTGCGTAGAAGGACCGGGGTCGGATGATGCATCTACGAACGATGGCGGTGCCGGATTTGGTGGTGAGGCTCGTCTTTTTTTATGAGTTGCAATTATGCGCGGCGCTGGTACTGCAACAGAGTCACGTCTGTGATGACGGTGTCCGTCTACAGAATCTCTGCGCTCCTTGTCGTCGCCAGAGCTACGTCTTTTAATGCGACGCTCTTTTGAAGGTATTACAGTCGTCGAGTCTTTTCTGTCAAAAATGGAAAAATCTGAACGGAAATCTTGAGGCACAGCTTTAGAGTCGCGGCGTTTGGAAGTTATTGATTTAATGCCTGAATCTGCGGAAGAATCTCTCCTTCTCCGCGGGGGCGGTTCGTGACGGGCCCATGGTAGCGAGCGTGCTAAGTCTGCTAGAGTTTCACGTCTGGAAAGCGGTGCTCTTTGGCGCCGAGGCTGACTGCCTCCACCACCCCATTCACGCAATATATCGGTCAGTTGAGCCAACGAAGAACGGCGCCGTCTCGGTCCACCTACATAACAAATACTTTTATTTTCGATATTCACAGCTACAAATCAATAAAATTTATGTTAGAGGGTCAAATACCTCGAGGTTGATCTGGGGCATCTGGTTCTGGTGGAGAAAGGCAGGAGACTTGTGCAGAAGAGTCCCTGCGACTGCCAAGGCGCTGTCTTAATGTGGATTCTTCTAACGTTGATCGCGTCAACTCGTCCCAGCCGTTCCCACCAGCCCATATCAGGCCCACTTGATGAGACAATATAGGCAGGTTGCAAACGAAGCATATTGCTGTCATCGTCCTGACAAACAAAGAATAACTAGTTAATATACATTATAGATATCACTAGAAATAACAAAATTGACATGCAATATTGCTACATAGGGTGCAGAACTAAAAGTTGTCTAACTATGAATAATTTTGAAATTGTTATATTTAACAACTCACGCTTTATTATTTCTAAAATATGAATAGGAATACATGTCGGCGACTGGTGGCGGTCTGTCCAGTATAGAAAGCGTAAAGCCGCATATCGCGCCCTTGTTTTCGCATCACCGGGCTGATAACTGAACTAGCGGCTCGATATTAAATAATAACCGCTCCCATGCTTGTCGACATGGTGTATCATATTACCAATAGACTATTGCTTTGGTCCGATACGAAGATTTCGTTACATTAGATCAAATTATCATTGTCAGGATGGAAAACATTAAAAAGTTACTGGAATTATATTGCAAGATATAATTCTAACTTTACACAAAGTTCTTACAAACAAAATAGCATAATCCTCCTGTAATGCTACAATGAAATATCTAGTCGGTTATTCGATAAGGCTTATCAATTTCAGTTTCCAGCTTTTGCCATATTATGTTCAAAAGACTAACTATTCATATCTATCAAAAATAGAATTCTCATAATATGTAGTAGGTGTTTTTCTGACAAAAGCGACATATTATGTTGTCACAGATGGCACATATACTATGTGGTAGATAAAGCTTATTTATCGGTTACATGGATGAACGGCTTAGAACCCTTCATATGTCAAGAAACGATTCGATATACAAATGAGTATTATTATTCATTGGAATGGAAACAAACATGTTCAGCCGCTGCGGTATAATATGTTCAGAGAAATTCTATTTCAATTTATGTGGTTCTAGGCAAATACGCTTTCATGACTATGCATTTTTGTTATTAGTTTTTTTTTATTTCATTTTTATCCCTATTTATTTTTTTCTAATATTACCTGTACCGTTTTTTACTAAGAATCAGACTAGGGATCAACTTAGGCAGCAGCAGCATTGAAATCTCATCTGTTTTATGATAGCGGCATACTTTATATGAAGTTGGCTGAAGGTGGCTATAGGTTGCAATATCCAATTAACATCAGGTGTACAGTTAGATCGGTTGTTACTACTATATTATAAAAAAATCGTCATCGTAAGGTCGCATTTTCAAGTTGAAGGTTGTCTCAGTTACCATATTTGGCTAGTTGATTGACTTACACCGTAAATGCAGTCCTCTATCACCGATTTTAGATATTAGATATTCTATTTTAGAAATGGATATACGATATACCATCATTTATGTCTTACAATACATTACAAAAACTTGTTATTATTTTTCGAAGTGTACTCAGGACAATTAAAGAATGAAATTTACCCATGGACTGTCTCGTGTCGCCACCGTTGACCACTTTTGTAGTTCAATTATTTAAACAATGTGTCATTAAAACTACGTGAAAACTATTTAATAGTGCAACGATTTAACTATATCTAATTAGGTAATATTAATCTCTATGTGATACAGTGAAACCTAAACTTAATATTATTATTATGTGAATTTGTGTTATAAGAACATGTTCCATTAGTGCAAATGATGATAATTTGTTTGAAGAAGTGTTGTGAAAAGTATCACGTAAGCACGTCATGCAGGTGATGTCTTTCTTCACCTTGAGATATTATTCTAGTATCGCATAACCTAAAATGTAATTATAAAGTAAAAATCAATGAAAAACGTTACTGATACGTTTGTAATTGCGCTACTTGTTGATTTGCCTCTTTACATAAATTCAAGAAGCTAAACTTAGATTACCCATATTCCATTGTTCTTATTGTAGACGTCAATAGTTTCCTCTTCATTTGCTAAAAGTTATAACGTTTTAAGCCGAATCTGACCGCGAAAAAATCTTTTAGATAATAATGGTTGTCAACTGCACCGAATGCTTGTGCAGGTACTAAGTTGACCACTCAGACATAATCGCAAGACATTTGAGAAATCAACGAGAAGGTGTTATCTAAAAATAGAATTCATTTTGTTGCCAATCCCAGAGTCCAAGTTCCAAGTCATATTGGCCAAACCAATATGTCGGTCTGTAATCAATGTGGTCACTAAAATATAAAATACTTAATATAATTACAATGGTGCATCAAGTATAGATATCTACATATTAATAACACGCATACAGAAGCAGAAATCATGCTGTCGGAGTAAATTAATAGTGTTTAAATATTTCAAACATAAAAGTAAACATGCTCGGAGTTTCATTGGGACCTGTAATGGCGCAGACGAGGTGAAGGGGATTGAGGCATGACGAAAGCCAGGGCATTGGGGGCAGTGCGCTAACTCGGAAAAATGCCGATACAGAATATCACATCAAACACTTTGGACATCTGAAACAATTAGTAAATTAATATTATTAGTTAAGCTAAATATTCAAGCATTTTTACATTGTCATTTGCTTTGTACATTGAGTAAAATATTAAGTATATAGGCATGTTATTTCTCTAAAATGATGATATTGAATGACACCTAGATATTTAATTGTGCGTAATTGTGTGTAGGTAGGTACCTACCTACTTAACGACTAAAAACTTTAAGCGATGTGTAAATGAACACTTGTTTTCAGTTTATCTTAATCGGCTTTAAGTTTATGAGTAATTTATTTAATAAATGTAAAATTAATTGCAAATATAAATTTAAAAGTAAAAAAAAACTCAATAGATAAGTATTGCAAATAAACCTAAATGAAACACTTATCGTATTAAAACTCGAAGTGACATCTTTTAAATTTTTGGGACTAATTTCTTATAAAAGATACATTACTCCACTGATAGGTGGCGCTGTACTTAGTATATGTACGAAATAAGCATTAAATCACAAAAGTTCTTTATTTTGTAAACAGATGACGCTAATATACTTCACACTTAATTTACACCACATTTAGTTTTACCACAGTTTATAGTCTTAAGTTCGAACGAAAAAAATACATTAGTGTCAAAAAATCACACTAATGTATTTTTTAAAATAATAAAATAAAGTTAGTGTCTGTTTGTAATATAAAAATTACAGCTTTTAATAAAATTTTTGTGTCTGTCTGTCTCTGTCTGTTTGTTCCGGCTAATCTCCGAAACGGCTGGACCAATTTTGACGGGACTTTCACTGGCAGATGGCTGATTTCATAAGGAGTAACTTAGGCTACTTTTATTTTAGAGAAAGAATTAGGGTTACTCGCAAAAAAATTAAACACTAAATTACACGCGAGCGAAGTCGCGGGGAAGAGCTAGTTTTATATAATTCTTTTGTCAATTTTTCATTACTATTTTTTCGTTTTCCAGCCGATACAATATTTATTTCTCCTTCTTTTAGGAAACAGTGAAAAGGTTTGTTAGAATAAAACTTCCAACTTAAGTTGGAAGACCATTTTCTTGAATACAACAATTAGAACTGATTTATCGCGTGTTTGAAATGATACGTAGGTCACTCAATAAGTTTTGAGATGCTCGAATTTAAAAATGGAACGCACCCGTGTTATATGTTTCTAAAAAGCAAATTTATTGAAAAATAGAACTCCATAAGCCAATTGCTCAATATTAAAAAAAAATCTATTAATTATCCTGGAAGGCTTCCCACGCTTTTCATTTGAAACGATGGTCTTAACCGTGAACATTTGCGATGAAATATTATGATTTTAAATTTGGGTTAACCGAACAATTAAATTTACAACGGTTACAATCAGCATTAGGGGACTCAGCTCCATCACGCGCAAAACTTTTTAGGTGGTTTGCTGAATTCAAAAGGGGTAAAATTAATCTTAAAGATGACCAAAGAACCGAGGCCCCGTAAACAGCAGTAACGGCAGAAAATGTATGGACTACTGGAATGTTAGTGCGAGAAGACCCACGAATTACATATTATACGGACATCGAAAAGATTGTAGGCATTAGTTCGGAGAGCATTCATATCATCCTACATCAACATCTTGGTGTGAGGAAGCTTTGTTGTCGATGGATCCCTCGTTTGCTCTCTGAAAGCGAAAAACAGACTCGTGTGGATTGGTGCCATGAAATGCGCAAACTTTTTGAAAACGGGACAGACGTGTCTCATAGACGTGTCTCATAAATCGTTACTGGTGATGAGACATGCATCTATCAATATGATCCGGAAAATAAAAAGCAATCATCGGTATGGGTCTACTCAGAAGTTTTTTTGTCGGACAGTTACCGACAAAACTGCAAAGACCTCGTAACGTAGGGAAAAAAAGGTGGCTAGTTTTTTTAAATAAGTAACAAAGCGGTGCCTACCAAAACGTATTCCTAGACCGAAAAGTAGTCTTATCATAGAGTTTTTTTTTAATAGAATAATGTTGAAAAACGTGTCATGCGTGGCTATTATTCTACAATTATATGAATTATTATTATTCTATTTATTTATTTATATATCTATTTGATCACCAACATAATAAACATTACATCGTTGCAAATGAGACTACATATTCGGTTTGTAAAGCTTAATGCTATTGTAATTATAGGTGAAGGCTACATGCAATAAAAATAAGATAAGAAGCAACAGGAAAGAGTTTAAAAGGTTCAAAAAATTAAGTTATATAAAATTCAAGAACACTATTGTACAGTCAATGACTTTTTAAATCTGCGAATGCCACCCGCGAATAGATCAAGTCAATTGGTTTTAACCATGTTTCTGTACTCTCTCAGAAAACAGTTGAGACGGGTATTTTGATCAATATTAGATTTACTAAATTGATCCACGAGAATGTTAAATCTCGATGCCCGAGGTAGTGTGAGTGGCACTCAGAAAGTAAGAAGGTGTAAAAGATTCGGAACATTGAGAATGCCATTCGCTAACTTGTACAGGAACAATAAGTCGTGCACGCGTTTTCCATCTGATATAGAACACATTTTAAAATTATTTAATCTCGCTTCATAATTTAAAAGTACCTTGCCTAGGTTACAGCTATATGTAAGATGCCACAGAAATATTTTTGGATGTTTTCTAATCTCTTTTTATGCACGTCGTAAAACGGATTCCAAAACACACTACAATATTCCAGACCGCTACGTACAAAATAATTGTATAATTGAGTTTTAGTTTTGGGAGACTTAAAGTATCTACAATTTCTCAAAACAGATATTAGGTTCTTGAATCCTCTAGAACAGATTACATCAATATGAACATTAAATCTTAGTTTCTAATCCAGTCATACTCCATGATCCTTCACTGTATCGATGTCTTTTAAAATATCATTATTAATTTTATATTGGAAATTAGAACCAGTTTGTTTTTCTTGAAAATTGCATACAAAGCTATTTAATAATTTTTTATATTTACACGGACACTGCACATTGAATAAAACTACTTTTACGGATTTTATCGCGTTTTAATTAACCTATTTTTCTTATTTTTATTAATTATCTACGTTTCGGGTGCTTTACAGCACCCGTGGTCACGGAAGACTGAGGCGATTGACGTCCCGATGTCAGAGTTAACCCGGCGTACCTTCAGCTTATTTAATTATTAATTTTGGTCCGATCTACGCAGAATGAACTTACTGTGTCTTGAAGTCTTGCAGTGGTATGCTTGGGCTTAGTTTTAATTTTATTAATTACAGGATCCCAAGTATGTGGTAGTACCTAGTCTCCATCTCTATTGAAATTAGCATGTTTTTTAATTTCAATAGCCATAGTTAATTAAAACGCGATAAAATCCGTAAAAGTAGTTTTATTCTACAGAAGTATTTAAAAGAATTGGGGTTCATTTTATTAGTCTCGCACCATTTGATAAGGTTGCAGAGTTTATTCTGTAGTAAAACGGCATCTGAAGGAGAGTCAACATTTTTAAATAATTTTGGGTCGTCAACAAATAAAAGATAATCTGTATCTTGAAAGCATTCGCCAATATCATACGTGGTAGAGCCATGCTGCAGTTATATTACTGGTATAGTTGAAGCACGAATGGGTCGGCTCGACCGGGGAAAGACAATCTAATGATCAATCACAATCAACAATCTAATGATCATGAAAACACAATGTATCTGACAAGTAATACATATTGTAAGTGCGATTGCCAAGTCAATCTATTTATTTAAAACATAAAAGATTTTAATATTGATATGGTCACTGTAAGATGTTGTTAGGTTAGCTAATTACGTAAGGACTGAATAAATTAACTGACTTGGTATTACATGGATCTCACACCTTTTTTGATGTGCGAGCCTTGTTTTTTTTTACAAGTTATGTTTTTGACGGCTCCTCATTTCTTTTTGTAGATAGTTATATATAGGTACCTATTAACACCTATTATTCTATTATATTATACATATACGGGTACACTGATCTATTTACTGCAAATGTAACTTTGTAATACTATATATTTGTATGGGATTACAAAGTTAATTATGCAGTTGGTGTATCTAGAAAACTGGACGAAAATTGCAAAATATTTTAGTTTTTCCTTTAATAATACACTAAACACTAACAGTATTCTAAATTTTAAGCTTCTATGTCTGCTAGAAGTGCCTTAGAGTTTTGATGATCGGTCAGTCGGTGAGTGACAAAATTAAGAAACTTTGACTAGTTATAATTCTTAAACTATTGGTACAAATTGAATGAAATTTTAAATATACCGTGTTTAATATGCATGCTTGGTTAATGAAAGTTCAGGTTTATAGTTTCTAGTTTTATCCACAATGAAGTTATAGGGGGTCGAAAATGGCCTGACTTGCTTCTAGAAAAGAATGGTACGGCTTTTTTTGCTCCACTTGGCGGGGGCACTGCAGTGCCCCCAGATAATTTGTAAGAAGACCAATTATACTTTACTTCCAACTTCAACATAAGTCGAAAAAACTTGCCTTCAATTTGAAACACAGTTTAACTTCAAACTCTAAAGACGTTAAATCGCAAGGGACTGATCTAATAAAACAGTTAGTGCTGCCAAGTAAATTTGTTGAACAAAGACTATTATTAAAATAAAATTTAGACAATCGTACCTTTGCCACCGTCGCGATGTTTCCTAGTCAAATAAAATCGTTGTCTGTTGTATAGGATTTACGATGTTAGCAAAAAGAAAGAACCGATAATAATTTTCACTACTACAGAAGAAAGGGTTGTTAACTTGTTAACGCATGTTTTTGTTTTAATTAAGGTAATAACCTAATGCATCGCACTGTTGGACCCTTCTCTCATTTCTGAGAAAGTATTTAGGGCAAAAAGTGTCCGTCACGCTGCCCTAATGCGTATTGCGGACCTTACATGTCTGAGGAAACTTATATATACCATGGCGAAAGTAAAAGATA